AGGCAGCGGTGGGGAAGAGACAGAAATCTTTAATAAATAAATAAAAATAAATAAATTAATTAAAAAAGAAGGTCTTTAAGAAACTATTGAGGAAAGACTTGGCATCCCTGGAAGATTTCAACTTCAAGATTTCTTATAACTTCACATGAAGTTAAAGAAAAGGCAAAACATACAATGCTGCTGATCATAAAATGGGAGAAACCAAAAATATTACAGTCAAAATAAAGGAGATGATCTGAGAAAAATCTCTCTTGTAATGACCCAGTGAAACTATGACTTCACAGATGTGGCTTTCACTGAAATATGGGGCAGTGGAATATGTGCAGCTGTCCTATTGTGTCTGGAGGACATTTTCTCCATATAATCATCCATAATCTTGTGTTAATGAGTGCCCTCTTTATGAGGTTTGGTCAGAGATGTGTCATCAACTTCTAAAAAACCAAACAAACAAACAAACAAACAAAAAAAAAAAAAACAGGCTTTTCTCAATGCTATTGGTTATACGTTAAAGCTCAACGAAAAGACCCTATTGCTGAAGGCACTCTCTACTTGATCACAAAGCATGTAGATATCAGGATGGTACTGACCTGAAAGTTTCATTCCTAAATGCTAACTTTCATACTGCTGGAAGTTATTATGGGCACCACTGGAGGAGAAAAGCACTAAACACTCTTATCCAGATGTTAAGCCTGTGAGCTAAATAACATCTGGACTGACAAACTTTGTACTATAGAGGCATTAATGTCATGGAAGTACTGAACCATTTTCTGGTCTATAAAATGAAACTCACACTTGAATATATATATATATATGTATTATATATAAATATATAGTAATTTTTAATCAGATATAAAACACATATGAAGATGAAGCATGTAATTATTTTCCAAATATTTTATCTATCAAACTTATCTAAAATTATTATAATATTAATAAAAATGTACCATTGGAAAATGAAAGCATGTTGATGAGCAAAAGCAAAACTTATTGCATTTTCTGTTTATAGTCTTAGCCTCATTCCCAAGAGAAAACAGAATCTCTGCTGAAGAGCTCCAATTTAATCTCTAGCTCTTCTCATCTAGCTCATCTCCACAACAGTAAATATTGTTCCTATTATATTTCTAGAATTAATGACTATGAATATCATACCAACTGTCCACATGGTCTACTAAGTTGCATTAAACAAGTCAGTGTCATGACCTCCTCTCTCATTATTGTATTTGGAAAAGCTGTTATATTGAAGATAGACTGGTAGCTTATACAAGCATTAATATGTTTAAAAAAACTTTTATTTATCTCGTAAAATTCATTGACAAAGTTCTTAATGCTATGCTAAACATCTTCAATATATATATGTATATATATATATATATATATCTGTTTTAGTACCATGCAAAGATCTAAACTGCCTATAAAATAAAAATGAAACTTTAAATAATAAACATATACACATTTGTGAATATAATTATTCATAAATCTAATTCTCTTCAGGTAGCATGTAAAGAATTGAGGATCTAAAAAAGAAGAATGAAATTCTAAACGGATAAAGGAAACAAAATATTTGTGTATTTGGGAGCCATTAGATTAAGTGAAATGAATGTAATGTTATGCTTCAAAGACAGTCTGACATCTTTCTTCCCCCCCCCACCCTATTGTGGCAGTAAAAGGTAAAGAGACATCCACTCTGCTTTAAAGAATTCATCACCTAAATCTATGATATTAGCATATATTAGTTAGAAATGAACTCCAAATATGTAATAAAATCTACAAATCAAAGAAACCAGGGAGGTCAAGGTAATATTCTGTGTAATTTATTGGTTATTATTGCAGACTGCAAGGCTTACGTGAAGTAAAAAAGTATACCAATATTCACACGATTGTTACACAATAAGAAAATTTTAACCATAAAGTTTTAAATGACAGCACCTATAATCTGTTAAAAAATGATGCTAATTATTGTTATATTTTATAAATATCATAAAATATTTTTATTATGTAATTATTCCAATGTGTATAGATTCAATATGATTCTATAAATATCACTTTTGACTGCAAAACACATTATGGTCCCTAGAGATAATCAGGATAAACTAAAAATGCAAAATGTGTCATACTTAAATTAGTTTTTCCAAAATTTAATAAGCTAAACTAAGAGGGTTTAGTGTGGCTGTAAATTCTGTACTGTAGGTAAGAAGGTCTAATCTTATCATTGAACTGAATTGCTTGAGTTGCAGTCAGAATATTAGGAATCTCAGACTAAGAGGGTTTTTATGAAGTATAACACTTTTCCTTTGGGAGTTAAACTTAAGCCAAAAAATCACCCATTTCAGGTTAAGGTGTGTATCTTGTGGCCAATATGCCTTCAAAGTTACTACAAAGACACACACAAAAAGAAAAAAGGAAATGTATAAACAGATCAAGAAATTTCTTTAAAAATTTACAACTTAACTAGAATATATAAATTATGGGGTGAAAAACATTTTTTTTTCATGTCCAAAATAAATGATTTGATGCAACCCACATGAAAACATCAAGGCATAAATCCTTACTAGGTCAGGTAAGTCCACACATCCCTGGATGATACAAAAGGAAGTGGACATCTGAGACATCATTTATAAATAAGCAGTGGCTAGACTGTGGTAATAATCCAAATAAGATATACAATACACATTCCAATTCAAAGGCATGCAATCAGAACGTCAGGAGAGATTGAGCACATGCTGAGATGCTGAGTTTTATCCTTTGTTCTGGTGTCCTTTAAGCCTGTTGTTTGCCATCAGACACAACAGCCCTCTTCTACTCATCCCATCATGTTGTGTTGATAATGCTTCCATTATCTATGTGTGTAAGAAATTAGAATCACTGTTAATCATGGATGTGTGGCCTCTGTGTTGTGAAGCCAATGATACATGCCCCTTTTAAAGAGAAACATTGGCAAAATAAAAATCATCTAAAAAATACTTTTTGTTAAGTACTATGGTAGTTTGGGGGACTTTAATACATGCTAAGGGAAGAAAAAGTAAAGAGGTTCATTTGGTGTATGACTATGATATCTAAGTTATTTAATTACATAAATATTAAATGAAATAAAGACTAGAAACTTATTCCTGGACATAAAATATGTTCAGTCAGGGAGGTAAACAGACCATTTTAGTTTGTCTAACCAATTACCTGGAAACTGTTTACTTCATTTTAAATCTCCTCTAAATTTAAAATATCCTGCAACATTATCCAATTTAGCATAACTGGCAGAACTTTCCTACTGAATACTAGAAAATTAATATCTAAGTATCACTTTACTATACTGTGAGTCAAAGCAGAATGCAAGTGATGGGTTACATCTATACTTTCAGAACATGCAAGGGGTTGGTGCATTTAATAAGCTTTAAATTACTCCAAGTATAATTGAATGAAAGAGTCTAGTAAGTAGTATATTCCTGATTTTGCATAGTGGTACCTTTAGACTCATTACTCACCCTCCTTCTCTCCAAAACACCAAGTTTTACTTTCCATTCACAAAGTCACTAATGCAGATGTACTCAGCACCCAACAGTATTCAGTGCTCAGAGTCCAGGGCTTCGTGCATACTCCGAGCTATTTTTGAAGTTGATCTAATGATAAGTTACCATCCCCAAGAGCTTCTTCAGCTCTAGAACTGGCAACAGTTTCACCATTAACCGTCACCTGAGCAGTTTTGCCTCCTATACCCTGAAGCTGTACGCTGGACTTATATGCCAGTTCCAAATAGCATGGTGACACAGTCTCCAAGGATTTCTAGCTCTTAGGGAGCAAAGCCTTAAAAGGAAAGCAAATGCCATTTCCCAGCTGGTTAATTTTTTCTGTCCTCAGAAAATTCTGTATTGGTGATAAAGATTTATTTAGAAACGCATTTGAATTAAAACCAATATTTTGACAAATAAAATCTTAGTAGAATTTGAGATTCAACATTTCTTATGAAATAAGAGATAATGCGATTAGGACAGCTTGCAGTTTAGTGAACTGGGTCGCATAAAGTAAGAAGACAATCTCAGGTTCTGAAAAATGACTAGAGAATTTAGAAAACAAAACTTTAATTTTATATCATATCCAACTCTGTAATTTGTATTTAAGGACTCATGCCTCATCTACCAAGGTATGTGGGATTATAGCAATGCATTTAAGAAAGAAGAAGACTAATAAATTTGTCTCTTTATATTGAAGTATTTTTTATATTAAAGAAGTCTTTTTTAATACATGTAAGATTAATAATGTGCAATAAAGTCACTCACTTGTACATGCCTTTAAAACAGAATCGAAATTGTCTGGGTATACGAAAGGGAAGCTGAAGGGAGAGAAAGAGGAGAATACATATGCAAATAAAGTCAATACATGTAATGTACATGCATGAAAATATAGTCAGTGTACATGACATACATATGTGTAAATATAGTCAAGGTATACTATACGTTTGTATGTAAATATCTTTATGAAACCCATCACCATGTATAATGAATATATGCCAATAAAATAACATGTAGAAAAAGGGGGGAGATTGTTAGACGGACAGGCTAGTGTGCTTCAACACTGTCTGTTTTCATTTATATTACTTTCTTTTCAAAGAAAACGCAGGAAGAACAGTCTTGAGAGCCTAACAGCCATCCAAGGCACTTTCTGACAACTCCTGCTTGCGTAGGTACGCCCAGCTGCCACACTACCGCCCTGCTGAGGTTGTTTTAGGGTGGTCGGTCATCTCAGCTTTCACTCTTCTTCCAGTAGAACCAATGAAATCAGAATTTTCTCAGGGGAAGGGCACTCAGGCGTGGAGTGAAACGCATCTCCTCCAGAAGCAGTGGTGTCTGTGTAATTTTCTTTTCCTGGGGGAATTAACTGGCTTCTGTTCCATGATAAAAAGAAGACTCATTGCAAAGATTAAAAAAAATACCAAAAAATTATGCTGAAATCTCATTTTTTTCCTTCCTTTTTTTTCTTCTCATACACAAGTAAACAATAGCTCTCCAAGTAAAGAAGCAGTCTGTAAATACCCTGCACAGTGTCTGTCTAGCTCACCCCGCGTTCTACAGCCAGACTTCAGAGGGCTGCGGGGCAGCTTTTTCCAGAGTAGGTTAGTGATCCCATCAGACAAGGTTACTCTATATTGAAGTTTTTTGTCCATATGTATGCATAAACATTTGAAGGGCAAAGGAAAATTCTAGTGTTCCTTAGGCTGTCCATTTTCTCTGATGCAAGGTCTCTCACTGGCCTGGTATTAGCCAAGTAGGCTAGTCTGGGACAATGTACTCAGTACACTTGTCTCTATCTCCCAGGGATGTGCTTGCAATTGCCTGTCACCATCTCTATTTTTTTTCTCAAAATAAGTTTTATTTAAATAAGGGTTTAAATACATTACATAACATTAAAACTGAGAGGGAAAAGAAAACCAATTCAGTCATGTGGCTAGCTGTATGTTTCAACTCAATGGTAGCTACTACCCAGTACCATCTCTATTTTTTAAAAATATTTTTGAGATCCAACTTTGGTCCTGATGCTTGTATGCAAACACTTTAGCAAATGACTTGATTTTTCAGACCTGTTTTTAAATTACTTTTCTTATATCCTGAATCTATGCTTGGGTGATAATGTAATTTAATTTGTGGCTCTTTTTTGATCTAAGTGTTGTTTCTAAAGCCAAAAGAGTAAAGTCAAGAACTCACTTTGTTAGAGACTCTCAAAAATGACGTCAGGTAATGACTTGACATATACCTAGAGTTATCTGGAAAAAGAGAACCTCAGAAGATCAGCCTGGACTATAGCCATGTACGTGAAGCTTTTTCTTAACATCTAATTAGATAAAACCATAGCAAACACATGGAGTAAAACATGGCATTCTTCCTTTCAATAATATAAAACTTTAAATGAGCAAAGAAAAACAAGAACATTCCAAAGTTGGTAGTCTCCTTGTCTATTTTGTGAGTGGGACTTATCACTAGTCAGAAAACAATTCTTCAGTCCAATCTTTTTCCCACGTGTATGATGCAAAGAGATGCTACAGTGAAAGAATATGGCTTCTGAGTCTGAAACTCAGAAATGAACGAAAGAAAATCACTCTAACTCTTCATTCAAAAGAAGTATGAACCAGACCAATGACTCTACACAGAACACTTACAAGAAAAGACATACAGACAAAAGGGTTTACTGTGTGACTCACTGTTGACAGAGGTTTCTTTCCCGCCCTTTTGAATCATTTGCCAATTGATCAAGAAGGCCATCTACACAACACTGAGACAAGCAAGGAATATTAAAGAAATTTATTTATTCCCAACTTAATGTATGTGATTTAGTATCACTTGCCTAGGCAGAGCAGGGTTCATATATGCAAATATAAGCAACCACAAAAAAGTTTGAAGAATATTCATCAGGTGATGCAGATTGCTATCTTGAATGAAAACTGGTTCTAAAAGAGATTATCACTTCTCTATGCATATGAAGCTGAGAATCCATTTTTATATTTGGTACATTTCTTCCAAACAATCTTATACTAACAATAGTCCCATATTTAGTGGTCATAGAGTATATCCTCCAGCAAATCCCAGAAGTTATGTGTTATTGCTAATGAACACTATTATTTGTTTAGTGGAAACTTATCTTTTGTATTAATTTTTAGGGCAACTTTGACAACTATATTTCTTAATCTGCATGTCATGAGATTCAACAGAGGCATAACAATGGTATAAAATACAGACGACAATTTCTTTGGCCCAGGGAGCTGACTGAAGGTGAAGGTACAAAAAAAATGTAGAATCAAAGAAGATGGCAGCAGACAAAATGTGAGGGCTGCATGTACTGGAGGTCTTGGATCTGCCCCAGTGGACTGAATGAATGTGGGGTAAGCTGATAATGAGGAAGATGCAAGAACGAAGAATGGTCATAGCTGGTAGAACAATGCTAAATACACAGAAGACAGTGCTAGTACCTCATTGATAAATACATTAGAGCAAGAAAGCTCCAGTAGTATGACAAGATTAGAGAACTAACGGTTTATCATATTAACCTTACAGAAAAGGATTCTGGGCAGGAAGACACTGTGACCTGAGGCACTGAGTAGGCCCATTTCATATACTCCAGCTATCATCCACAAATAGACATAAGATATAATATGTTTAAAGCAAAGATTTAGAGATAGCCACATAGTAGTCATATGTCATCTAACATCCTTCAACAGCAGAAGAACATAAGAAGTAGAACTGAGCTATGAATTCTGGGTAGGAAAAGACATTTCTCTCTGTAATAATATTCATCAACATATTGGGAGTAATTACAGTTGGCTGACAACAGTCAATAAAGGACAGACTGCTGAGTAAATAATGCACAGGTGAGTGCAGGTGAGCACTAAACAGAATCAAGATGATCATGCCCAGGTTTCCCTTAACTTTAAATAAATAGACTCCTAGAAAGATGAGGAACAGGGGCTCCTGTAGCTCTGACTTCTCTCTTAACCCAAGGATAACCTCAGCCACTGTGGTTTGATTTACTTCTTCCATTCTTTTCTGGAAACTCTATATAAGAAAAAACTTTTACATAGAAGAAAAATTTGAACAAGAAAAATTTGAGCATCCATTTTTCTATCACTCAATGTCTTTTGAAACCAAATTCAAATATTTTCAGGTATCTTCAATCCTCTGTCATTCTCTTTGCTATCTAACCATTAGTCAGAGATTTTGTAGTCCCAGAAAGAGGTGATATGCAAAGACATAATCACACAAATGTTTATTTTCTTGTGACTTTGAATAAAGAATTATGTGTATTGGTACCCATTTCCTACCTCATGCAATCCTTTCTAGCACCCCGTATAGAGTACTTCTAGTATTTCTCATGTCTTGTTTATAACACTTCTTTGTTGCTAGAAAATGCTTTACATTTGTAAAGTAACAACATTATACACAGGAGATCCTTGACCAAGTCCTAAATAATGATGAACAAATTGAATACTTCACAATAAAATAATGAACAAGAGAATCATTTAACTCCTCACTTAAATCTATATACTTCCTATGAAAATCAGCCAAAAAATGAACTTAAAAGATATAACTGCACGTTTCTCTCCCACATACCATTTTCTGAATAACCACTCTGAGGTATAATATTAATTATAAATAGTTTATTTTCCTCCAAACTGCTTCCTGCTGTCTGTGGACAAAGTATCTTTAGGGTCCTTGAGATACTTGGAGATGTCTAAATCCTGGGAAGCCCAGCTATCGCCTTTGCTGATGGATAGCACCTGTCAAGTTTCAGGAAGTCTCCCTTGATCAAATCTGGTCCACCTTAACCTGGAATGAATCCATAGTTTCTTGATTTCTGTGGAAACAAAAGCAAAACTGCTTCTGCAAAGCAATGCATGTTTTAAGCACTATTGTATAAATATATTTTGATGTTTGTTTTAATGCTAAGGCATTTTTTAATATTCAGGCTGATACACTGTATCAGCTCTCTTTTAACCTCAGTATTTTGGCAGCTGTCTCTTGCCCATCAGCCATCAAATTCAAAACCAACCAAATAACATACAGGATCTAGAGTGCATGACTATTTCCCATCTTTTTATATCTTTTTTCTTTTATATTACATTTACTGTCTTATTATGGACTTTATTTTAATTTTTAAACTATTTCTTCTGTCTTCAACTGTCTATACCTATTTTCTTCTTTTTTTAAGCTGATGCACATTGTTTTGTAAAACCCATTGGATCCTGTTTAGAGGTTTTCCTATTTGAACTTCTTTTCTCTATGTCTTTTAGCCATTTTTGACCACGTAAGCAACACTTTAAAGTGCTAAGAAGTATGGAACTGTGTCAGCTGCTTTGATGGCTGAGACAGTCCATTTTTATGGTTGTGAAAATCTAACCCAACACTCACAGGGCAGTGGGAGGTTCATGACAAAGAATTCATTAAAATGTTCCTTAGAGCTCTAGAATGTGGATGCTTGAACTGTGGAAGGTATTTTTACTTAGTTTTCCATTCCTCCTTAACATGCTAGCTGCTCAAGGTCTCATTGCCCCACAGATATCTTATAGAAGTGTCAGAAGCTACTGACTTGTTAAACAGCACCTGAAATTATGTTATTGAACCAAATCCAGGATATATTTTCATTATGCCCACACGTCTCGCAGATACAACTTAATCTTTACACATGCCCACTGAAATTCCACATGATATTCTAAATGTGATCTGATCTTTAAACCTTGTATCTCATGCCCTAAATATTTCATCATACAAAGCCTCTATCTTTTGTTCAAGCTTCAGCTCTATACCTTAGTAACCAGAGCAACAGTAACATTTTTTGTCAAGTCATTCTTAACATATACAGTCCCCAAACCTATCATTCTTTTTGACCTACTCAAAGCCCTTTCATTTCATCTAAGACGTTAAGTCCCTTATCTACATTTCACGGACCTGATACACTCAAAATATCTGCTGCAATGTCAGCAGCATAACAAAAAGAGGCCATTGAAAAACCATTACCTGGGTACCCATAGGTATTTCGTCAACACAACTGGTAAAACATGACACATTAAATCTTTCCCTTTGCATTATAAATATACTGCCAATCTGGCAGTATTGAATGGGATGTTGTCTTTAAAATTTTCCTGTTGCTATGAAGCATCCTATAGTTTGTAGAGATATTTGAAAGTGCCCACAGACAGCTAAAAGTTTCTCTCCATTCTTACAAGCTAACAAAATATCAGCCATATCATGAATTATATAGACGTGATCATAAAGCTTCTTGGTAGGTTGCATTGCTAGAGCCATAAATTTTGACACATAGTTGAACTATTCATCCTCCCTTGGGTAAAACTTTCCAATGATACCTGACCATAGACTTCTAAAATTCACCAATGGTACACTGAATGCAACCCTTTTACAGTCCCCCAAAGCAAGATGAATGGTATAAAAACAATCATTCATATATAGAATT